TCAAGCACCAAATCCCTGCTTTTGGTGCTAAAGGTCCCATGTTCTATCCTTGGTTAGGATGGTGGTATCTTGGTGTATGTGGTCACAGTTTGTTACATGAGGACCAGTCTGAAATACGTAGATTCCTTGGAATGATAAAGTTAAATTCAAACAGCATCACCTTGGCCCTTCATCTTTCCAAGAGAGATCAAATGAGTTCCATCCAGGTCATTACATGTAGGTCTTTTATAGTAAACTTTAAATCAAAGACCTCTTTGCTATGCTTGGATATTAAAGAGTCCACTACACTTCTTATAACAGGGGAGTTTGCCCCAGTGTACATGGCCAAAATTTCCCTTCCCACACTGCAAGTTATTCTCCTAGCTGCTGCTGTTCAGTCTAGAGGTGGCTGCATTACAGTGGTGCTGTATGTATGCAGTTTTGTAGTGTTTTGAGATGAAAATTGCTACAAAAGGTAAAATTTTATTCATTAAAACCCTGTATGGTAGATATGAGCAGCACTGAAGAGAACGGAATGCTAAACTATACTACACTCTTTGACCACTAGGTGACACTGTAAAACTCCTTATTTAAAGGAATCTCTGCCATACCTGGCAAAGAATTAAAGAATCTTATGATGAATACAGCTGGAGTGTATAAGCAAGCTCTGTGACCAGTCCATATCTGGTACAGAAGTACATGACATGGTGTCAGGAGTAAACTAAGAACAGAAACAGAAGGAAAAAAGTAACAACAGTTGCAAACAGAAGGTGATATTGGATTTTTGAAAGGAGATCCAGTACAAATAACCTTAAGAGACAATGCTGAACCATTTACTGTAGACACAACTCAGGGGGTTCCTAGCCCGTTACTTTATATAGTGGAAACTAAGTTAAAAAGAATGGAGTGGATTGGCATAATCAAGAAAATCTCTGAGCCAACAGCATGGTATGTGCCAATGATACCAGCTATAAAGAAAAATGGAAAAATAAAAATGTGTGGATTTTAAAAGACTTAATGAAGCAGTTGTGAGAGAAAAATATATCCTCCCAACAATGGATGACTTCCTCCCCAAAGTGAAAGAAGCTATATTATTCTCCAAGTTGGATGCCTTGAGCAAATTCTGGCAAATTCCTTTATCCAAAGAAAGTGCTAAATTAACTACATTTATCACATCCTTTGGGAGATTTTGCTTTTGAATATTACTTTCTGGGATTACCAGGGCACCTGAAATTTTCCAAAGAAAGATGGCAGAACTGTTGATGAACATAAATGACGCTGTAGTTTTCATGGACAATATTCCTAAGCCTAGTCAGTCAGTCTGGACTGAAGGTAAACAAGGAAAAATGCATTTTCTGTCTACCTCAAATTGAATTTTTGGGACAGACAACAAATAGGATTGATTCCATCTTTAACTGCAAGAAAGTAAAAGCAATTAGAGAACTGAATGCACCAACTAATGTACCAGAACCAAGACATAAACTGGGGATGGTAAATTACCTTGGTTGACTCCTACAGGACCTTTCTACGCTGAATGAACTGTTAAAGCCCAACACATCTTGGCTCTGGGGGCCAAATTAAGAACAAACCTACAATGGTCAGGACAGGATAAAGCAGCTATGGCCTAGGTTGGGTATTATTGCAACTACATGGCTCTCAGTGGAAGCCAGTTGCATTTTGCTCTAGCACACCCATAGAAGCAGAAAAATGATATTCACAGATTGAAAAGGAGTGCCAGGCAAGCTTATGGGCATGTGAGAACTTTTTCAGATCTTTGTGCGGACTGGCTTCATTTACACTGATAACAGATCAGAAATTGCTTGTAACCCTCATCAACAGAAGAGACCTGGATCAAGCACCACTGAGATGCCAAAGTCTATTGCTACGTTTAATGTCATTTAACCCAATTGCTAAATATAAGAGACTACATCAGCAACAAAAACAACCTTGACAGACATGTAACTTCAGGAAGGCAGCTGGCCAACGTATCGAAAGGACACTCAGGAGGAGACAAGAGACTACTCTGCAGTGCGTGGACAATTGAGTCAAATGGACTCATGATTACAGGCAATTGCATCATAATTCCAAACAAAATGAGAGGAGAAATCCTAATCCTCATCCATGAAGGACATCAAGGATTAACTAAATGCTGTGAACTGGCCAACCAGTCAGTGTTGTGGCCAGGCATCAGCAAGGATTTAAAGAATAAAATATCTGCATGTGCACAATGCAGAATTAACAGAACCAAGAATCTTTAACAATCCCACTACTAGACAGACCTTTAGAAGAGAATAGTTGCAGATTTATTACAACATTTATGAAGATGTCTGTCTTGGTAGGTTAATTCTTGGTCTAATAACTTTGGCAATGTCCCTTTAATGGAGTGTACAGTACTCTGAATTCCATCTACTTCAGGGCTTTCTACTGTGACCATCACTGTGATATAAGTACTTTTAAAATGACCTCTCAATCAAGCTTTCTGAGACCTCGACCTTCTGTGTGGTCTAATTATCCTGAGTCCATGAAAAGGAGTCAGCTAATCCAGAGTTCTAATTCTCTCTTTGATAGTGATTCTTTCAGTTGTTTAGGTCAAGCCACTTCACTTCTTTTGCCTCAATTTTCCTCTTTGTAAAATTGTGATTCTACCATTTACAGGGATGATGTAAGAGATGATTGTCAGCAAAGCACTATATGAGTGCTAAGTATTATTTATTTTATAATTCTTGACCATAAGCTATATAGCTCTAGAAAACTACCCTGAGTATAGTGGTTGCTTGTGTATTTTGAGCCATCAGTGACTGATTAAAATGTAATGTCACAGAGTGACAGATTTTGAAAGCTGACTGCCCACAAAATTATGTGCAAACTCCAAATTGGGAAGCTGGTTTGAAAAATCAGACCTGGAAAGACTGTAGCCAAGATTTTCAAAAGTGATTTAGGGTATCCAACTTCAGACACCTTAAAGAAGCCTAATTTTCAGAAGGCAGGTGCTCAGCTCTTTCTGAAACATTGGGTCTGTTCTGAGTCTTTCAAACGGGGCACTCAAAAATCACTAGAAACTTTTGAAAAACCTTAAAAAGAACA